GGGGAGTCCGGGAACTTCTCCCTGAAGACGGCGTCGCGCACGCCGCACCCGCCGTGTATCGCAGGATTGCGATGGCAGATTGGAGCGCGCAACTTGTGAGGTAGCGAGTCCTTTAATTATTTGAGTTGGCTGACCACTCTCTTCAGTTTCAATGTAGTCTTGATCGTCGCTTACATAGGACGAGTCATTCTAATTAATCAAGTCTAAAAAACATAAAAATGAAAAAGAAATAGAAAAAAAGAGATCAAATCTAATAAAAAAGAAGGGCAATTAACGAAAAATTCCGCGTCCTATCGATTAGCGGGGAGGCGGGGGGAGTACGGTAGTTGCAGTGACATTTGCCGCATGCCGCAAGGGAGAATGCCGCAATCGGGGAGAAGTTCTGTTACCCGGGGAACGGTGATGTAGGGACGGATTCGTATGACCGGAAATGGCACGACTTTGGTATAACAATTTACATCTCAGATATGGGCGTTCAATGGAATTTGGAATAATGTCTTTATCTTGATCCATCTATCGAACGTAAGTGAAGGAGGTTCTGAATTTCTAATTAACTGTAATTTTCGATTAAATTTATTCATATGCGATACATACATTCATTACATTTGTACCATTCACAGTAACATGAGCTGAAAATTCAACGTTTGCCAGCAACATTACATATGCTGAAAGTTCCGAGTAATTAAAGTGGTGTCCCTGGGGATTGTAATGTACACGTTTTTGAAGAGGTCTACCCTTAATGAATTGGTTACAAAAAGAGAACCGGGAGAGTTATCCAATTCCTATACCAAAGCTGCTGCCGATACCGAAACCACCAATAGGAGTGCTGATCCCGAGACCTCGCGTTATCCCCATATTGAACAGGCCTCCTCCATAGCCACCACCGTAGCCGCCATATGATGGGTAACCATAGCCTCCATATGAAGGATATCCATAGCCATAACTGGAACCACCATACGAAGGATACCCATAGCCGTATCCACTGCCATAGATTGGTGACCTGTAATCGTGACCGAGTTACCTAAATGGGTGCTACGTAAAGTGATGATTTGAGGAAAATCGAAAAGGTTCATATAAGGGTAGGTGCTTGGAGTTTTGTAACAGTTTCTGGCACTGTTCTTTGATTTGAAAATCCGCAAACGCACTACTTTTTTGTGCGCTCACAGGAGTAAGAAGTGCTAATCGAAAAACCAACTCATTTCAAAGGGATCGCGCAGGGAGACGGGCAGGACTGGTCGCCGGTCGCTAGCGACTGGTCGCTCGAGTGATCGCGCGGGACCGTCCGCGGCGGCACCCATAACTAGCGCGGCCTCCTCGACCGATCGAGCGACCAGTGGCGCGATCAGTCAAGCGACCAGTCGAGCGACCAGTCGCCGGTCGCTCGTGAGATGGGTCCGCGACCAGTCGCGCGACCGGTCGTGGACTATGAAAGATGCCGTTTCGTGTAATCGACTCACCGCATGCGGCAGTCGTGAACTAGTTGTCCCGCTAAGTGACTAATATTTTAAGCATGTTTCTACTGTTTCTTCTTTCGTTCCTGTATTTCTTACTCACCGCTTCATCCTGCTTCGTCCCTTCGCGCGCGATGTCGCTCTAGCCGCGAAGCAGCAATTTCGATCCAACTGCACCACAGCCGATCTCGCACGCGGACCGAAACCGAAATGCAGCGAGTATGGGTACATTCGTGCATCCGAGATGGCGCGGGAAATTGCATAATACTGTTTATGGCGATTTTGGCGATTCTGGCGCCTATCATTGGATCATGGGTTTCAAATATAGAGGATCAGTAGGATCAGCTGATCAGACCCACCTATTTTACTACAAATTTGGACCCCAATGATAGGCCCCCAGATGCAACTTGGACTCGGACGGCTCCCTACTGATTATTTCGTTCTGAAATACTTGCTTTGCATTTGTTTTACACATACCTGTATCCATAGCTTGGTCGGTTGTAATACGGATTCGTTCTGTCGTAGTGGTAATGGTGATGAATAGATGGACTGCTTCTGAAATTTGCTTATTTGTACAGTTGTCGCTAAAGGGACTGGAAGAGGCAAAATCGCACTCAAAACGATCTTCCAAAAGTCGTTGTCGTAGCTTAGCACGTCTGTACTTCTTCCAAAGGTAGTATTCATACTCGGCATCTTCGTCGACGTCGTTCCATGGTGATTCTCTTTTGACTGCGCTCTGCAATCGACCTATTCCTATTTACCAAAAGGCAGAGTGAAGGTAAATGGAAAGGCTTTCACGTTCGAGTAAGTCAGGACTAACCCTCGCTGCAAATGCGCGTGCAGCGGTCATTTCCAATGATGAACGTCCTTTCTCATGATGATCCATTAACTCTTTCTCATATGTCGATTTCGTAAAAGGCTCAGAACATTTGGACAATGACGGCCTTTTTCGGCATAGCTGTTCTCAAAAGAAAACATTCACTATGTTATCGTGAGCTCTAAGAACTGCAGGAAACGACTCACCATGAAACTGTTTTCTTTCTTCGAACTCATCGCGACCATCAACCAAAAACAAGCTGCTGAGGAGTAGGAAGGCTGTTTGTGATTTCATCTGAAAACGCAAACAACAACAACAAATTCACATTCAATATGTAAAAAACAAGCTTGAAGTCGCTTTGCTTTGGCCTCTCTCAGAATTTCATAGACAATTAAGTGCGTGTTTACAAGATAAACATACAGCAGGCACATAAATGATAAACTCGGTTGATATAAACATCACGATCGGTCGATAAAGAGGGTTCTTTTATCTGAGTAAGTTTGCTTGGACACCACAAAGTTTTGACAAACTGCACCCCGGACGTCTTATCGAGTCGTGGAGACTATAGACTACTGAAGTCCATTTCTGCTACTTCCCAGAGTACCCTATGTTCTAGGTTTTCGCATTCTAATGACCATGGAATATCTTCCACTGGGCCAGGTTGACTCTCCACGCAGAAAGTCATGACACTTGTTCGAGATCCCTCTATGTGATCAGCGATTTCCTGATTTCAGGGATACACTCAGTGCGCTGGAGGCACAATGAGTGGTTTCCTTTTTGATGATCAACCCTGCAGCTATTCAGTGTATGGTTTCAAAGCGAGTTTCAGCTCCAAAAAACCCAAATTTCTAGCATTAATCCCAAGTATCGAATAAATGTGATATCCGTTCGATAGTGCTTGGAGGCACGGTATCCCCTTTGAATGAATAATGTAAGTTATAATCCAGAATGGTGCAAAAAAGGGGAGGAAACGCGAAAATCGGTGTATTCATAGAAGTTGAAGGCTTCTGAAAGGAGCAAAATCACGAACTGGACGACGTAAAGAGTTGCATGGAAGGGTATTTGGACGAGGTGTCAGAATGTATGTGTCATTCCGCCTTTTGGTGCGTACTCAGCTAGGCCGGCTTTTGAGCCCTTGTTACCCCCTATCCAGTCCTTTTTTGATTTGTCAGCGTATTTTATGCTGACCTTAGAAGTCACAGGTTCCTCCTAGGGAGAACTCTCAGAAATCGCTCATAGAGATAGGATAGGGAACTGTGCCTTTAACGATCATTGCATGTTAGAGCGGACAGAATGTTTCCATGAAGTTCGACCCTTTTGTATGCTCAAGGCTTCTCCTACTTCCTTGCCTATCGAACTCTCTTACATCTCTCGCCCAAGAAGCTGAGCTTCACGGGTTCGGGTAGCAAACTCCTCTGAAAAAATTAAAATCTCAACTTGTACATCGGTTGATCACTACAATTCACTGTTTAGGGCACATACGCATTCGAGTGCCACTAAAATTCTGAATGGAAGCCGTATGTGGTGGCACATCACGAGCACGGATTGAATAACGTCATATGTTTTATATCTCATTTTTATAATTGAGAAAACAAATTTTTGTTTCTTTTAATCCAGTGAGAAAAGGATGATGGACTGATCTGAGGACCTTCGAAGGTTTGGCAGAATCAGATTCGATTGGTGAGAAAATCCTCGTAATCATGAAAGTACTCACCTAGTACTTATACCCCCAAATTGTACCTATTCCCGAAGCTACAAGTCATCGTAGATTGTCTCCAATTACATATTAAACTCTTATATTTTCATTTTTCTAAACACATCCCAGCGATATTCGGTGCTTTTTGTTGAGCCCATTTCGACTTCGAAGTTTCCAAATCCTGTTTCCGGAGTGATGGTTCTCTCTGTCGAAACTCTGAAGCATCTCAACCCTTCATGATTTCGATAACCTGCAGTAGCTTCAAGTTTTTCCAAGTTTCCTTCAATTTTTTATTCACTGCTCCTTGTTTGATGTGCTTGCGAAATAGGCAAAAGATCCGTTCTTATTACCATTTCGTGAAAAGGATAGCCACAACCCGTGCGTGTGCTAATGGAGTTCATAATGAAAACGGCAAAGTCATCTGCGGTCATCATGAGACCAAGACTTATATAACAATAGGAAGATTCGAATATCAAAAACGGATAATTCTTTGGCGTTAAGCAATCGCGTCTTCAGGAGGTTCTTCTAGCCCGCCATTCTTTTAAATGCCTAATTGCTCTATACAATGATTTGCGACGGCTAGCTAATGTCCCAGACAAGTCTGGTACGAATACCCTGATCCTGGAGGGATGAAAGGTTCTGTCAGTCAGAGCGGACCTCGAACCGGAATTTGGTCAGTGGTTCATGCGTGTGTGATAGTGCACCACTTGCCCCTACACCACCTCTGCCCATAAAAGGAATATTTGGTTAATTTGTTTTCAGTCAGCTACCTTGGGCATTCTTGTCACCAATGTAAGCAAATTTGAGTTATTCACCATTCAAAATTTGCACTGCTGTTCTGATAGTTTTGCAGAAGAGGGCGTTCCTTTCGAAATCGTAGTGGTGGCGTTTGAAATAGGCCACTTGACCAGGAGCTCGGCGATATACCAGTCACCGTCTTCATGCTCTCGTATAAGTCTGATACCAATTACTCAAGCCTGGAGGGACAGAGGATTGCAGTTGGGCATGAAGGGCCTCTGCTTTCCATTGCATAACAACAAGTCTCAGAGCATACGTGGATTTGCAAATGTGCTAGTTGTGAAAGAGTCCTGTTATGTTTTTTCGATTGCATCGAATCGTGACTATTTCTAATTACAACAACATGCAAGCGGGACCGTAATGGATGGTATACGTGAATCACACGGTTGCTACCGCATATAGTATTCATCTTAAGGAGCCATTAATCGAAGAGGAAAGCGCATTTTCGCAGTGTTCGTTGTCGACTTCCATTAGGGATCGTTGTGGCGTATTGAGTGCGTATGTGATCTATGTAATGAATTTCGGTGGCCAGCAGGCGTTCAAATCAGTGCTTTTATCCTTCCAGACGGGTCTGTTACCAATTAGCCGACCCCGGAGGAATGGAGGGCCTGGTTTGCGTGGGCGGATATCGACCCGATATTCCTACTCGTGACCAGGTGTGTGTGTGACAGCACGCCACTTGCTAGTACACCACTAATGTAAGGGTTGTAAGGGTACTGAAGACTAAAGTTGTAGGAGAAACGCGCATTTGAATAACTATGCAAGTCTGACTGAAATTCTGACCGAAATTCGAGTGACAAACACGAAAAAGCTAAGCAGCTTGAGCAACATTAGAATACAACCAGGGAAATCTCGTAGGTAAAAGAAAAATGTAAAAAGTTAAATACTTTTCATTCCAATAATACCGTAATACGTTTCCTTCGGATTCCAAAGGAAACGTATTACGGACACAGCGGTTAAAGGTAGAGAGGAAGAAAGGCTACCGGACTGTGAGGATCGATGGAACAAGACCACAGTGTGAAGTTGTTTTGGCATTTGACCGGAGTAAAGTGCATTGAGGAGTCATCCCACCTATAGTCTAGGTGGAAAGACAACCACGGAGAGAACGATGGCGGGCATAGTAACGGAATTAGCCTATTGTGGACGACAGTGTACAGTGAACCGAATAGTTGACAGCTATTCAAGGGCAATCAAATGATGCTGTAAACGCGTTTCGGGCAATTTCGCCGCTTTCTTCGATTTCGTTATTCGAAGGCATCATTGTGGTAATCGCTTTTCGCCTCATGTTTCTCCAAAGCATTCTCGAAGGTCGGCACTCACCCAAACTCGCCAAGAACAGCCCCACCCAAACAATCGTTTTCGCTACTATCGATGAAGGCTGGTTTCTACGACAGCTTTGTTCTGACAATTTATGCGTGATAAAATAGATTGCTGGCCATTTTGTGAAGGTTAATGCCCTGAAATTCTTCAACGGGAAGTATCGACAGTTCGACTTCAACCTATGTGGGTGTCTTGCCCAGGTGACCTTGGCGACCGAGTTNGAATCACATGTTGTCCGTCGCAAATCAGGCTCTTTTCCTACTATTCGCTGGAAACCGATTGTCACGGGAAGACGATTATGACAAACATCAGTTAAGTTTACTAGGTGGGAAGAAATTTTTGGCTTTTTATTGCTGAGAGGCAAAGCCCGCGATTTAGTTGTAACTGAGATTGCAGCAATGGCCGTCAGGGTGATTGTGAGCAATGAGTTATACTGAGAGGAACAATTTCAGATCATCAATACTCAAATAGGTTCCTCTTCTGAGCTCAGTAGACTTCGATAGCCTTCTCCAAAAGGTGCCGCGACTCCAGTGCTCCCTCCGCTGTCTCTGACATCAACAGTGCATCGGGCGAGGACCTTGCCAGTCATACGATTTTGAATGGTTTGTTCGCTCGTGATTTTTCTGGAGTTACGACGCTCGACGACGATCCTCTCTCAAATGACCAGTTGCTATTGATGAGGATCGACTTCTCAGCGAAGTAAAGGAGAATACGGAATGGAAAGAGCTTCTTGAATGCGACGAGAACAACATCATTGACACCTTCATGAACATGGTAACGGGAAAGTTTAACTCGATGGTTCTATGCCCACGGGCCTACGATCCCCGTCACGCGCGTGGCTCAACTGCTTGGCCGCTCTTCCGCACCTCCAATGGGAAGGAGCTTCGTAAGATCGTTGACAAGAGAGATTTTTCATGAGAACAACAAGAGTGTCGCTGTTGGTCTTTTAGAAGGAGAAGATCCGCAAATTCAACCCAGAACAGCATTCGACGAAGTTTCAACTGGGCTGCTGCTGGGACTCGAGGAGCATGCTATACCAGGAGTTGCTCCCTAAACGCCAGCTAGTCACGGACACACTCATGCAATCGCAAAAGTGACGGAGAAGAATATCTCCCCATTTTCTGCACTATAACGCTCGGCCACATGTCGCAAAAACCAACCGTACCGGCTACAGGAGCTTGGCTGGAGTACCTTTATTCAAACTCACTCATGCTACGACCACATCACCTCTGTCTATCACCTTCTAAGCACCTCAAGAGGTTCCCGGCCGAAGGTTCACCAATTTCGAAGCAATCAAAATTGGTGTGTCTCTTTTATTTGACTCACAGCCCTCTTCTTTCTGGCAGAAGAGAACAACCGACTTGTTCTTGTTCCCTCCATAGGTGAATGATGTTAATAATATAATAATATTGATTATACAGTTTGTTGAGTAAGGGTTTAAATAGAGTTGTAAAAAATTCAAAAAAAGTCTACCCTATCGCAAGTCTTATGCCTGATAGTCGCAGCCCTATATTCAGTCATAGGCTGCTTTCAGACTTCGACGTCCGTCCGTCCGGCGCGCTGCGGTCGCGTTGCGTGCGTGCGGCGGCGGCCCTAGCTCACTTGCACACAACACTGGGTCTCTGGATCACGTGCCAACAATTGGCTAGGACCGCCGTCGCACGCACGCAACGCGCCGGACGGACGGATGCCGAAGTCTGAAAGCAGCTATGGTCTTCGCCCACACGCTGATCTTGACATGATCGTTATGCTTCACTAATGAAGTTGTGAGCTGAGTCAGATGTTTTTTATTTTCCAGGATGGTGAGCAAGTGAAGAGGATTCAGTGACTTGTGAAAATAGTATTCACAAAGAAAGAGAAGGGTCAAATCTGCTACACTATTTACTCGTTATTAGAAAGCTTCAGGTGAGTTAATTGGTGACTGAAAATGATGAAAATGAAATGAAGTGAATCATCCGATTCCTATGCTGAATCCACTGCCAATACCGAAACCGCCGATTGGAGTCATGATATCGAGCCCCCGTCCAAATCCCAAACTGAACAGGCCATTGCCAAGCCAGGGAATCCCATAACCATAACTGCCAGTTGAGGGATATCCGTAACCGTATCCACTGCTGTAGTACGGATATGAAGAAGCATAATTGTAAGCCGGATACCTGAAATATTCGCATGAGCTGTGCTGCATGCAGAAAACTTTAGCAATTTTCCTTAACAGGACAGCTAGCGATGACATGATATATGAGTAAGCAGGCAAGGAATGAGGGCGTTGAGGCTAAGTACGGGGATGTAGCAGCAGAGGGAGTTCGAGTTTTGTTGAGAAAGTTGTCAGGGGTGTAACAGGGTAGAAGCTGTAACCCTCTGTTGACGTTTGGCACGTGACCGACTATAGTCTCTATCAGTGGGGCACGAACTTAAAGTGGAGTAGATTCGTAGGGCCAACTGATACTGATAATCTACTCTGTTTCAAGTTTAGACCCCAAAGATAGAAGCCAAAGTCGTCCAAAACGCCACAAATTTTGACGCGCGATTGACAGCATCTACTCAGAATTGGGTGAATGTTCCCTCCCCTCTGACTCTCTAGTGCTCGCCAGGAATTTCACTACAGCGCTACAGAGCCTGTTACTTTGAAGGTTAAAAATGGCTTATGAGATACCCCAAATGTGGCACTGAAAAGAGAGAAAACGGCCTAGATAGGGCGTTAAAAGGCTCGAAGATCGTCCTTCGTGTATGTGCGCACGAGTTTCAACGGCACTGTAGAGGCTGCACCGATCACGAGGGAACCCACGTAGGAAGTTCAAGCAACTTGTCATGACCCACATAGACAGTGAAAGGCGTTTCTGGACAGTGCTGGCTTGATGCAGTCAGTTCTTTGCGCAATTGTAACAACTAAAATCTCGTCCAAAAACCCCTTCTGTGTTGTTTCCGTCATGGTAACCTCGTACAACCTCTAAATACTTCTTTTTTGATGATCCTAACTTTTCCCAGAAACGGCAAATTTTTTTGATACCTTCATCATCGATGCACAGTTCCCAACCGATACCTCCGCTTTTTGTCTCGGAAAGAGTACCCCAAAATTATCGGGGAACTGTACCTTTAACATGAGCATTGATTTCGTGGGTGTGAAACTGGCATGGTTGTTCACAGGTATGCGATTACAGACTGGTTCCAAGGTTGAATTGAAGTAATCTGGTAAATAGAGCGGGTGGACAGAAAAATATGAAAAAAAGAAGTGATCGCAAAGAACAAAAACATTCCTTCAGAGTCCCGTGACGTGATGTGGCAAATATTTTCAATTGCAAGGGCATTTGAATGGGATCTAGACTTCAACCATCTTCGGAAAAATTGTTAACTCGATTCCCAGAGAACTGTCTGATTTGGAATCTGCCTGTGTTTGAAAACTGACCTAGTTTCGAATTAGTTAGCTTTAAAAAGATCAAAGGTAAAAAAGGTCAATATCCTCCCTGAAGAGATGAAAGGTTTTTCAATTGACCATAGGCAGATTGGTGTCAAACCATTGATGGCCCTGCCTACCTTTGGACCAGAATCCCTTCTCAACGCCGAACCTCCTCACCCACTCGAGTTTTCTTTTTTTTTTGAGAGTGAGAGCTGGGATCCCACAATAATAATATTAGAGACTTTAGTTCGAGATGAACGCCTATGCAATGAATTTTATATAATTTTTGACAGAACATCATGCACGTACCCATAACTGTAACTTGGACTACTGTAGTATGAGCTGTACGTGTCGCTATTTTTTCGATACTGTACTGATGGGCCACTGCTGAAAATATATGTTTGGATGAAGTTTAAGAAAATAAATGAAAGGGACATACCTTAAGCTTTCTTCTTGAATAGTTTTTCCCAGTTTTCCTTTGCCGTACTTTTTCCACAAATAGTACTCGTAATCCTCATCACTATCAAAGTCGTCCCATGATG